CTCTCTCTCTCTCTCTCTCTCTCTCCCTAGCTCAATTTATAAATAACAGTAAATGAGAAATAGCAGGGAAGAAAATCTCTTCTGCAGTCCTGGTGGTATCTACTTTATACAAATGCTCCACATCCACTCTATTTTCATTACTGGTAACAGACGATTTTCTATCATTTTTCTCAAAAGCATTTTAAAATAAAATGATTAAATGAGGAAGCTCTCAAACAACAGTTGGAACAAAAAGTGGGGGCTGGGATTTAGCTCAGTGGTTCTGCCACCTTTCTTGCAAGTGCAAGGACCTGAGTTCGATCCCCGGTACCAAAAACAAACAAAAAAACAAAAACAAAAAAAAAACAACAGTTGGAAATTTTCAGTAAGTAAAATCATACAGTACAAATGAGGCAAAAAAATTCTACTTTATGGTATGGAGCTGCTTGAGTAGGAGAGGAAGAACTATTTTAGTGTAAGAAGTCAATCTTTGGCTGATTATTTTAAGATTTCTTCTAGAAACTTGTGCTTAGGTTAGGCTTAAGGGGTCTAAAAGAGTTCCCTATTAAGATGAAGCAAAACCTAGTCTCTCTATGCAAGTTCATGTTCCACACATCTGCTTGACCTCCTGGAGGGTATGTCTGAACACTACAGGAAAGTTATAATCAATGACCAAACAATGCATATAAACTTTTAAAGTGAACTTAGAGTGTTTTAACTTAAAAATGGTTTTGGATTTTTAAAATATTTCATTTTTACATGAATAAGATTTCTCTAAAAATTATAAGAAAAACTTGTGTCAGAGACACAGCGAGAGAGGGGGGAGGGGAGGGAGAGGGAGGGAGGAGCAGGGAGGGGGGAGAGGGAGAGAATGAGTGCATATTTGCAGTCACATGAGGAATTTAAATATCTCAGGCCTGAAATTATTTCATGTAAGAAGTCATGAACACAGAATTTGAAGTAGAGTCACTTTAAGAAAAAAAGTAAATTCTGTGTCTGCTTTTTGGTTGCTAGCATTCTGTTTCAAATACTGCTTCAAGTTATAGCCCCAAAACTCTCACTCTTATTGAACGTATAACGTCTCATGTGAGAAGCAAGCCAAGTGTTAGTAGCCTTATTCTAGTCATTAAATTTCTAAGTGTGAAACCATATGAAAAAATTCTATCCTAAAGTGAACTCTATATGATAAGAAGTTGAAATGATTTTAAAATGTAAACTTTTAACAACAAAAAAAGAGTAACGTATAAAAATGTAAAAGGAACAAATTAAAGAATTTAGTGACATTCTATCCTTCTAGATCTTAGAAGCGTATGTTTTACAAAAGCAAAACAGTACTGTCCAATGGAATAAATCTTTACAAAATCCCCAAATTCTCTTCACAGAACACACAAAAGACCCTCCTCTACTGCATAAGAAAAGTAGGTAAAAAGCTGTCTTGCAGAAAAAAATTCTCTAGTTTTGAGTGAAAGCAAATGATACATGAATAGTGTATATTTATAAAATATAAGGTAACAATTATCATAATTTATTATAGCTTTAGAAACTTTTTTTCTGTTTTGGATAAATGAACTAAATCTTTCTTATGATTTTTTAAAGTCAATTTCTTCAACATGTCAATTTTTCCTAAGAGTAGCATCATAAAGCTCTTGATTACTTATAATTTTGGACTATTTTCTTTAATTTTTGAGATTAATTTTTATATAGTATAGTTTTAAGATCTATGAATCTGGACATATATGAAAGTGCATTACAGATTTATGACAAAAAATTCATGGTAAAAGTACTTCAAACTTTCGTAGACCTATATATTATTATAAATGCTTATAAGTTAATTACTAAATCAGAAAACTTTAGACAGAGGACTTTATGATGTGAAAACTAAAATATATGTAAGTATTAACAAATAACAACTCACCAAAGCAACATTTAAGGTATGGGCTATTTTTTAAGCTGTATAAGGATGATTTTATATTAACAGCATACCACTAAACTGACATTCTTTTAGAATTTTTTCAGAAGTTGTTTGTAAAAATAAATAATTATAGTTACATCATGGCAATAACTATATTAAGGTATTTCAATTGGAGATCTGCTTTCTTTTCTAACTAGAGACAACTTGTTGCAGTTACTTTTGCGATAGTTAAAATTTGCAGATGTGGGATAACAAAGTTAATAAAGCCTAGCCTGAAGCAAAATTAAAAACTGGTACATTTTCCTGGTGGAAACATATTTGTAAATACTTCACCAAAAATTCATCTGAAAGAAAAAAGGTCAATAATTTAACTATGAACTCACTAAAGATACATTTGTAGTATGTACAGAAAATGAATCATTTTGTATTAATAATTATTTCCTCAGTTTTCATATTTGGACAGCCTACCACATGGGAAACTACTCACTTAATATTTTATACAAACAAAACTGCTACTGAACACTAAAAATTAGGAAATATTGGGGAAAACCTTGGAGACCTGTCTTCTTTGTAAATCTCTACATGTACACGATACAATAGTATTGACTGAAGAGTGATACTCGAGCCAGGAACTGTGCAGTCAGCATTTTAAACTATTATGAGCTACCTTCTGAACCATTGCCAAGTTAATAGACAATGAAAGATAATGAGCTTGAAATTGGGTGTTAAATTGCATTTTTGGTTCTCTCCTTTTTCTTGAAGTTTAACTGTTTCCTGGAGAAACAAAGTCATCTTTTGATGCATCACTATGGAAATATGTATTTTTTGGCCATAAAAAAAGAAATAAGAGAAAAAAAGACAGAGAATAGTGTTTCATGCAGAAGATTATATTAACATAGGAAAATTAAAATATGCTGGATTACGAAACTGCTACATTGTAAACTATACTGAATTTATGTAAAATGAAGATGCTACATTTAAAGAATATAAAAAAGTATATTACTCATGGCCTAGAGCCACCTTCAAAACTCATAAAGCAGATTCATCCTAGTTCAATTACTTAGACTTTTAGTAGGGCCTCTTTGTGTTGTTATTTCAACAATCTAAAATTCTTTACTCAAGTAAGAGAAAAAAAAAATGAATGAGGGCCCGAACGACGATGCTATTTATACACACTATTTGACTTTTGCCCTTGCCATTCAGAGATCAACTGACAGTGTTAATTCTAGAAACGGAGTATTTTTATGTCATGTTATTAAATGGGACAAGGGAAATATTCAACTTTGGAAAGTGATCTTTAGTTAAAAAATGAACACCAAACTTCACTGATGTCATTCACCTGAATTTTTTGAGGACTGCAGATTTCATTATGATGGGAGAAAGGCTTATCCTCATTAGTATAATTGTAGAATCTCTCCTTCCTTTTAAACTAATGAGTTACATTAATCCAAGTTCATTTTTATAAGCCTCTTGGGGCTAAATGTAAAGGACAGTCATCTTAGAAAACAATAAATTTTTTTAAAAAAGCATGTATCCTGCATTAAGTGTACGTATTTCATACGACCTAGGTTAATACAACTGGCATCCAGTTTAATTAATCCTTGTTAGTGTAACAACTAATATCCCTCCCTAGCATGTTTCCTTTAAACATTAGTATGTTAATTAAATGTTTTTTTTTTAAGATTTTTCTTTGTACTTCAATACAGCATTTATACCATGTAAATCTCTTCTCAATAACTACCTTATAGAGATGTTTTCTTACAATATCTGGTCTCTTGCAGAAATTCTGGAGCTTTTTTGAAAGCTGTTCAGGTGTAGAATACAGATATTCAGCTGCAGGAAAAACAGATACATTTTTAATGAAACAAAAACCTCAAAGCACACACTCCATATTAGTCACTTTACTAATTAAAAATGCATATTGCTCTGTGCCGCCTTGTGTTTTACATTATTTAAGCATGATTTTATAAGGTTACCTCAGCTCACAAGGATGTTTAATGCTAAATAAGACTGTGTACTTGTTCTGTTTAGACATCTCCTTTGGGTGATTAAAATACATTATTCTAATGTAACACAATGCATATGTGATATATTTAGTGATGAGAATTTTTTCAAAGAACTGGTACTATAGCCGTATGTACCCTGTACAACAGTTGCATATTATTAACTACTCAATTGTTTAAATAATTTGGTGTGACTTTCAGTCCTTGATTTTTTTCTCTGTGTATATCATTAAAAAAAATCTGTAAGCAATTGTATCAACACTGACCTGCTTATAAAATCTATCATTATAGGATGTGTATGCTAACAATGAAGAATGCTATTTGAAAACTTGTTTTTTTGTTATCTTAAAAGAACAGATGGTAAATATAAGCTTACTCTAATGTATTAAAACACATAAAATTTTCCTTAACACTAACATGTTGACTTGCCAAATAAACAATTGCTCCTGCCTAAGTTTATTTTCAAACTTTCTAATTTAGCATGAATCATGTATTAAATCACAACAAAGACAAAAGCACATTATAGAAGCTACCTGGGAATATTTCCGGATAAACCAAATCTCTGGGACAAAGTGGATAACAACCACAATACACAGCTTCCAACCTAGAGAAATATTAGAGAGGATAAGAATATTTTAAAGACATTATTATTATAACCAGAAAGTGGTTTTGTTTGCCTAAGTAAACAGTACGAGCTCAGAGTTAACTGGGTCAAAAAACATGATCGGCAATACAATCCTAAAAGCCAAAGTTGTTCTTTTAAAAGATTTTATTGATCATATATGAATTTCATAGAACAGAACCAACAGCATATGTTTTATTCACTGAATTAATCAAAGCGCAGCGCTGCATTTTTTTTTGTTTTTAAAATACTGTTTAACACATTTTATAATCAGCAGATAAACACATGTAACAACATGGTAAAGTATGGACAGCTTTTCTTAATAATGCTGCAAAGCCTCAGAATGTTCATTTTTCAAAAAATGTTTAAATAAAATGGCAAATATTAACTTTAGCACTGAAGCCGTAGAAGTGATCGAGGCACTTTTAAAAGCAGCAGAAAAAAATTTACAATCTGTTGTGATGGGGCATTTTCATTTTAAGCTCATGCTTTGAAACAATTCGGTATTATGCAGAATGTAAAACTCTTTTCTTGAAAAAAAATCTCATGATTACTTTTATGTAATTTTTCTTTTCTGACTAAAAGCTCAGTCCTGCTTCCATTTGATCAGAAACAAAGACTTTTGTTATTAAAGAAACAGGGAAGTTTCACTTTGTGAGAGGATTTTTTAACGGACACCTATGGGAAGTTCTTCTGTATATCACAGTGGTAAGGGTTAAGGCAGAGGGATGGTATTGCTGCTGGCTTTTCAATGACTATGTTAGGGCTGCCTAGCAGCTATTGATCTGACATATAATAAACTTTAAAGATACCACTGTCATTTCTGTTGGCTAGAAATTATGCAGTGAAATTCAAAACACTCTTTAAAATATGTTTATTTTATGAGAAACTTTGAATTGCATCCAAAATGTTGACCAAAGGCTGAATTTATTTTGAACTGCAGATTTTTTTCAGCCCAAGAATAATTTGAAGTCATGTCAATGTTTACCTTGTTTATTTACAGTGACAAAGTACATGCAATTTAAGCTGTTTTTAAGTGGGTGATGCTTTCCCTATTTTATTATGCTAAACTGAAATTGGTTTAAAGGAAAAGTATTTACTTTGAGCTGCAGATTTTGGAAAAATACTGAGTTCAAAGTTTTCCTTGAGAGCTGACAGAAGTTACAAGATAATAAGTAGAAAGGCACAGATTCGACTTACCAATTTTTAGTTTCAGAATCAAAGGTATATCTAATATTTTTTCTCTACATACATAGGGTGACATTAAAATTCTTATTGTAAGCATGGCTATGAAGTACATTCTGCTGTAGTATAAAATATTAATAAAAGTTTTGAGCATATAACCCTGTGATACACTTCATGAACCAAAAGAAAATATGCACTTTATCCAAGGACAGTCAGCTTTAAAATGCTGTGCCAACTGAAAAGCAAATACATATGAACATTCACTTATAATTACATAAAATCAAAAGAGTGAAGTCACAGGCATTTTAGAGAGTGCACATGTTATCTGCTTTTTAATAATGGATTTGAAATAGAGTGTTCTGTTCCCCGAAAGAATATCACAGGCCAAGTTACATTTTGAGTCATTGTATGAGCATGTACCATGCTATTACAAAAAAAAAAACAAAACAAAACTCTGAAATAAAATACTGTACAGTAAGATAAGAACAGCATTATTTAATTTAGGAAGAAAAAATTTATAAATTTTGGACATCAATTTTTATTTGTAAATTATCATATTCATGGTTCTTTTTCTAATTCATCAAGAAACAACCACCATGTCTGTTGGCTATAAAATATAAAATTTTATTACATTCATTATTTAGCAGGATTACTTTTTAAAATACATGACATAAACTATGATATTTTGAAATAAATTTAAACATTCATTGACATGTTTCTCATATTTTGTTATTTTGAAAAAAGTTCATCTCATGACAATAATACGATTATTCATGATTTCAATTCTTATGCACTACCAGTTAAATGATAGAGTTCCAATTGATCTATTGTTAAAATGACTAGTAAATGACCTTTTTAGTCCAATTAACAAATCATCTGCTAAATCTATGAATCTTAATATTCAGATCTATTCACTTCAATTCATACAATTTATCTGCAAATAGTTGTTGGGCTTTTGATTCTAAATATAATTAGCTGATAATTTTGCTTGGCTGAATTACTTTTCTGGAGGGCCTGCAAAGGCTCTCAGTCGCATTATCTAGCAATAATGAATCTGATAGGTGAAATTTTTTACTGTAATGAGGATGAGACACAGTTGTGACACCTGAGTCTACTAATAACAGAAGACTGCTAATTATCGACAGCACTTTTTTGTGTGATGCAAGGAGAAAAAAAATCCCTCATTATTAAAAAATAAAAAGTTACAATTATAAGTGACACCGGAGGAGAGTAAATAAAATGGAGTGATTAAAACATTGCTGCTTTAAGGGTGTTTTTAATTAAGTGGAAATGCTAATGTTGTCATACTTAGCAGATGGGATTAAAATTAGTTATTGTAAGTAACTCATATTTTATGTTATGGTTTCCACAGCATGTCTACAAGATCTAAGAAAGTGATACATTCCATAAGACATTTTAAAAATGAAATTCTCATACTCTTTACAACTCATAATAATGAACATCATGAATAAACTATTGAAAAAAAATCCTGCCAAGGATTTTACCATAGTGACTTAACTAGCAAGGAATGTAACCATAATGTACTGGACTGTTACAGTCTCACTGATGGTATGCTTTTTGCTTTGCTGATTGTTGCATTCCCTATTTCATTCACACTCAACACAAACAAAAGTTTGGGACTTGGGCATTTAGCCAGCATCAAATGTGGTGTCAAGAAGGTAGGGCCTGGATACGAGGCAAGATCGTGACCACCCACTAAGGTGATGTTCTAAACTAAAACAGAGGATGCATCATGTAACTGCAGATAAAAACCTAATTGCACACTTTCTCCTCCTTTA